CCTGCGCCTCCCCTAAGGGAGGTGCGGTGGCCGCTCCCCTGTTTTCAGCCACCCTGGAACAGGCCCTAATGGCGGGGCCCGCCGGAGCGTCCCGAGACGCGCAGGTGTGTACGAGAGAGGAGGTACGAGGTCGTGGTGACAGAATCCTCCCAGGAGCGGGACGGCGTTGCCGCGCCTGGGGCGGGGAGACTGGCCCCCTCTCTGGCCTCCCGCTGCTTCGGGACATCTGGCATAGCACTTGCCCCTTCTGCTAGCTGCTGGTGGTTTTGTGCTTTGTATCCTTATTACTGAGTATGCTGGGAAGAGGACCAGCGCTGCTAACAACGACAAGCCTGATGCTCCCTTTCGTAGCCTGCCGAGTCACTCGAAAGTGTTCCAAAACTGTAAACCGTAGCACGAGATGCTATGCTGCTTACAGAACCACAAATAGAGTCCAGGAACCCCACTACCGCTTGCCCTTGCCGCCTGACAAATAGTTGTGTAAATCAGTGACAGAAGCTCTTCAATATTCCCTTTCTGATGCTAGTTTCTGATTAGTCTCAACTGGCAGAAGTCTGTGCTGTCCCACATACCGTTGTGTACGGAGGAGATAATAGGAGTGTGTGACCGTACTTCTGCTTCATCTGTTAGAATTACAGGCATTTGGAGGCAGAGGTCTTCTTATGTGACGATGCTATTTACGCTTCAGTCCTATCCATTAAAGGTGGATTTTCACTGTTAATGTCCTGCACTTTTATCCTTGAAGTTAAGTCCTTTAAAATATTTTCAACAGGGACTGGGGGGGGGGCAGCTGTTTCTCAAGGCATTTATTATAACTAAATGCCCAACTCCTAGGGACTTCAAATCCCAGGTAAAGGATATTGGATGGTCCCAGGTGGGATAAGGGATTCATCGTTCATTCATTTCATGGCTGGTTGTTTGTTTGAAAAGACATCAGTAGTTCAATTTGGTACATGGTAGTTTTATCATTACAAAGTATAGCTCACTATTACATGGCCACTCTCAGCATCTTGTCACATCACCAATGAATTTCACGTGGTTTGTATTTATAGTTCTATCATCCATCAGAAGTATAATGGGAAATCAAAGTCTTAAAACCGAACTGATTTAACCATAGGAGTAAATGAATGTAATAAACAGTCAAAATCTCTTGATTTTTTATATGTACAATTTCCTGTTAAGAACCATTACACTCTGGTTTTCAAAACCATGCAGTCTTGATTCATTTAGGAATAGAGAAACAGGCAGCTGTGGAAATAATGTAGAATCCCAGTTACAGTCACCTTCTTATTCAGCACGCAAAACACAGACCCAATTTGTCTTTGATATTAAAAACTGATAGGAGATCTTATCATGCTGTAAAAGCTGCCCTGGTCAGGTACTCTCCCTGCAGTGCACTCAGGTAAATATAAGCTGTTAAGCTTTTTTCAGAAGGTATGATTGATTGTTACATTTTTTTATTTATTTAATAAGTTAAGGGGCTGTATTAACCCCAGGGTCTTAAGAACCTGAAAATATTTTAAGTGTTAACTAGTTTCATTTTAAACTTGAAGAGTCCTCAGCCTACAGGGACTAGAAATGAAACTAGCAGTGTATGTAAAGAAGGATGGTACTTAAAGGATGAAAAGGAAAAAGTAGAAGTAACCACCTGACTTTTCATACTACTTCTGTTATATAAAAAGTGTATTTCTGGCCTCCTCCAGACTTAGCTGGAAGGATTTAACCACACATGGAACAGGCCTGCCCAGATGTGCTCATTATACTCAATCCTGAGCTGGCAAAGCCTTCTAGCATGCACATCTCATCAAAGCTCCTGGGTTTTCTCATTGCATAGGCCTATATTTGTAATTGGGGCTTCAATTAATAAACATCTTCTCTCATTGCTGTCATCCTTTACTGTCTTCTTTTTTTTCCCTGGTGCCTATTTTCTGATCTCTCCTACTGTGTTCACACCCTGAGAAGGCACCTTTTCCTACACAAGTACGTGAGTCTTGAATCCAAGCAGGGTTAGTCTCCTGTGATATTTCTCAATAGGGAATGGTTATCTGCATCAGTTTCAGGTCCAAGACTTTAAGCCTTGTCTCAACAGGGAAGACCCTGGAACAGTCATTGTGGAATAGCAGTTATTCTGCATTAGCTCCTGTATAGACTCTTACTCTTCCTGTGAGCATCACGTTCAAGCACCCATGTTATAGAAAGAAACAAGAGGGGGAACAAATTTGGGATAGCTACAACACTTTGAATTTCTGCTTTCCCAGATTCATATTAATTCTGAGAGTGTTCCTTATCTTGGCAAATCCTGAGATTAAAAACTGTTGAATGCAGGAATTACAATATTTCCTTGTTTCTCTAATACAGCTAGCAGATTTTTGGGCATTCAAGTATGCTTCTAATGGTAAGTGTATCTGCTTAGTGCTGGAAAATAATTCAAATTATTACCTCTGTGATAATGCCAGCAGAGCATGCCATTCTTTGGGGCAGGCACGCACTTCCTTCAAGGAAAGATTTAGGGACGTGGATTATGCTCATAGTTTTGAAGTTGTCTTTAATTCTGTACGATGTGAGTTGTCTTTCACAGTTCTGAAAGAAGTCAAAGGAAGGCACTGCAGGCAAGATTTAAGGGAACAGTTTGTAAATCCTATTGTATTTCCCTTTGAGTCACCAAATGTGAATTTGGCCTTCAGCCTCCATTTTTTCTGCTTGTTTATGTCTTATGATACTCACTTATGCGGAAGTATCCCTGTATTACCCCACGTATCTGCTGCATCTTTCAGACCGGAAGCTAAGAATTTCATTAGCTCGTCCATAAGACAACATTTCTTTGCAAAACAGACTGGAAAATCCAGGGTTTAATTGATCTCCATCCCTGATGATGCACCTGTGTACTAATCTGTGGGCTTTGTATGGGGTAGGAGGAAGCGGGCAGTTGGGGATGTGAAGGAGGGGTTTGCAGTGTAATGCTTGAGGGGGGCAAACCTGGAGCCACACAGGGTACTGTTTTTCCCAATTGTGTTCCTGTCCTTGGAGGAAGAGAGCAGGAACCAGCCTGAGGCTCAGTGCCTTTGAGGATTCACCTGCTGTGGTGTCATCCTCCTTCCCCTGGATTTGCTGGAGCTGGGCTGTTTCATAGCGCTGAGCCATGCTTGTGCCTTGGGAAAGCTCAGGTGGAACCAACTACCTCTCCCTTTGTTGTTACCTTGCTCCTTTTGTCCAGACCTCTGTTGAGGCCAGTGATTTATAACTCACCGAGCCAGGGAAGAATGCTCCAGCAATACAAGTGTCTCTAGAAGAGCTGCAAGGTCTGTGCTTGGGTGGGAGGGTAGTGAGTATGAGAAGGGCAATAGTGGGAATAAGTGAAAAAGAAAAGATGAGTAGATGCAGGGCTTGTTAGGGGGGTTTCTGTAGGCATTTCAGTTTTCTTGTTCCTGTTTCATGTGCATGTTTTGTTC